GTTGCCTGTGCCACTTCAGTTTCTCTTTTCTCGGAGTGGCCCCTTGTACCCACCTAGCAAAATAAATAACGACTACCTTCAATCAAAGTAAGAGACGCCACCACGTTACATAATTTTTATATCACTCATCCAGATGGTGTTATTGCAGACTAAAATAACTCTTTCAGAATATACTAGTTCGTCTAGACAGAAAAAAGAACAATGACTAGTCTGTTAATGTGCACTCAGGCAAGAGAGAGTAAGTGAGGTAGGGGGAAACGCCTAGCAACACGTGTATATAGTACTTGTATGATGTAAGTACCTGATTAGCGGAGGCTGGCAGAAGGAAGTTGGCGGTGGTCGGAAGAGCTTTGGGTGTTGTGGGGATGTCTCGTTTTCCCAAGGCCATGCTCACAATAGCAGTCATGTGTGTCTCCGGCCCAAACACATGGATTGGCAGGCCGAGTCTGTTGCCTGGATATATTTGGAAATGTCTTTCTTAGCTCAAAGTGATCACAATCTTATCAACACACAAAATCTCGAATTAGTAAGAGCTGAAAAGAATGAGCACTAAATATAATCTTAAGAGGATAAGATACAAAAAATCAAACAACCCAACAATACTTCTTTGAATTATCTAACTCATTAACTATTCAGAACACACTTCATTCATTATAATTTCCAAGCTACATTTATTTCTAAAATCAAAACAAATGTGCAATTGTGATGCTTTAAAAAAGAAGCATAGAACTTTAGTTTCAGTTTTAGTAGAGGTGTTACGGCACTCGCAACTGCATAAGGTCATATGAGTGCCCAGCATAGAACTTTGCACTTTTAAATCCTTCAGACCAAAGAAACAAGCTACCTTGAAAATTCAGAAGGATAGTCCTTGTCATTACCAGAATCTAATTGAGAAAGATCCTCAAAATAACCAATAACGTCTTGTGTGGTAAACGCTGTTTTCTGTACACGTTTTGTCTCAGGTGGGCCAAGCTGGGGATGGGGTCTCGCTCACGGGTGTACCGATGGCTAGGCATTTGCGCAGTTTTTTTAGATTTAGTAAGAGTTTTACGGCACTTGCAACACAATAAGTTCATATAAGAGCCATAGATTAGAAGTGTTGCAAGTGACTAACAAACACAAAAAAGAAGGAGGGGAGATAAAGGAGATAGATGTTTTTTATAGGAAAGAAGGAGCAAACCACACCAGGGCACCCGTCAACCACCCACAGGGGCAGTTTTTTACGTGCCATTGGCTAGAACCCAAATGGCTGCTGGATCGGAAAAGTAAAGTACGTGCCACTGGTGTACTGATAGCAAGGGCTCAACGGTTTCAAAGCAGAAATTTATCTAAAGACACAAAAATCCAGGTCATCACAGAGTACAAAAGTACATTCTGTGGCTTCCGAGACGTACCCAACTCTCTCATGATCCTCAGTCCCTCCTGGTAGTTTGGCCCCGCTCGCCTCACATAAATGGACACGTTGCCTTCATTCAGCTTCAGCTGGTACTCCTCAAGAGCTCGCACAATGCCCTGGGGAAAAAGCAATATACACCTTCAGTGTGGGAGTTTAGTTTTAGTTAGAGTTTCACGGCACTTACAACACAATAAGGTCATATAAGTGCCGAAGATTAGAGGTGTTACAAGAGAGTAACAAACACAAAAAAGAAGAAGGGGAGATAGAGATTATAGATTCTTTTAAAAGAAAGAAGGAGCAAACCACACCAGAGCACCCACCCTCCACCCACAAGCAATATCCACCTTCAGTGTTGGGAGTTTGAATAAGGTTTTTGTTTTAGTAAGGTTTTACGGCGCTCTCAACACAATACGGTCATATGAGTGCCGAAGATTAGACGCGTTACAAGAGAGTAACAAACACAAAAAAAGAAGGTAGAGAGATAAGGACGACAGAGGTTTGATAGGAAAGAAGGAGCAAACAACACCAGAGCATCCGCCAACCACCCACCATTTCAAATCGAGACAAAAGCAAAATGAGTCAACAACAGAGGACAGGTTCTCGTTACCATGTTGATGTCCAATGTATAGTACGAGCTCGTACATCTCTTAAATTTCACCATTTAACGGCAGAAACTATGAAATTTCTTGCAAAGAGAAATATACACAAGCAAACACTTTTCCCCCTTTTATATCAACAATTGTAAAAGTGATGTTGGCATAAAAGGCGCAAAAGCTTTGAAATTTCCCAGACTTTACTCGGCTTCTCTAATCTTTATCATAAACACCTCTAAGGAAATACAAAATACAAAGTCAACACTCAACCTACCTTAAAAGTTGATGCTACATTGGTGAAATTGGCAATACCTCCGCCAATTATGAGAATTTTTCCTGAAAGAAAGCAATAATAAATAACTGACATATCTAAAGAAATAAAAAAATTAATAGAAAACAACAAAAATAAAAATGAGTTTTTGACATGACATAATCTTTCCAAGTCATTTGAATATTTCCAGCAATTAAATTAAATGAAACGAGTACAATAGTAACACGTGTAAAAATTCATTAGTATTTGTGAAAGAGAACTACACATTTTGTACCCCTCTTCTGTGTATGCATACTCTCAGTTAACAAGGAGGGCAGAGAAAGCTAAGTGGTAACTCCATGTAGGGACAGCGATTTCTCTCTCTTTTCATGATTTTTCAGCTGCACTGATGCTTTGTTCATTACAATATCTATAAATGCACAAGTTGGAGGTAGTTTTGTACTCTCACAAAGTATAATAAAGACAGGTACACTCTTCAGATACTTGAAACGACCTCCACCATTTTACACCAAATGCCATTTAAGAGAAAGTCATTCGGCCACCCATGTGAACTACGTGATATTAAAAGTTAACTCTTTATCTCTGGCAAGCTGCTTCCACCAGTTCACGGTAGGAACTGCTGTGCCGGTGAGCCGCTGGCAACGGCTCGGGCACATTCCTTTACGACTACTTCGACATCAAATTACTTCTCAGCAATTGCCGAAATTAGGTCTCTTTTACCGGGAGTTCATTTATTAGATGAAGAACTATTGAAATAGATTAACTTGTTTTGATTTAATGACCTATTTAGTGACGTTTTTGTCATTTTTAGATTTAGTACAAAAAAGGGCCCCAGCATAGTGGGTCTACCCCACTTGGAGATAAAGAGTTGATCCTTTGAACAGAGGGCCCCGGCGTAGTGGGTCTACCCCACTTGGAGATAAAGAGTTGATCCTTTGAACAGAGGGCCCCGGCGTAGTGGGTCTACCCCACTTGGAGATAAAGAGTTAATCCTTTGAACAGAGGGCCCCGGCGTAGTGGGTTTATCCCACTCGGAGATAAAGAGTTAATCATTTGAACAGAGGGCCCCGGCGTAGCGGGTTTACCCCATTCGGAGATAAAGAGTTAATCACTTGAACAGAGGGTCCCGGCATATCGGGTTTACCCCACTCAGAGATAAAAAGAGTTAATCATTTGAACAGACTCCATTTTTTTTAAAAAGGCCCCAACAATACTTATTACTCGTGAAGGGAACTGTTGTAGTATAGGGTTTTACGGCGCTCGCAACTGCTAAGGTCATATGAGCACGCGAAACACAAGTTGTTTACTTTCGCAAAAGTTCACAGCACGATTGGTTAACTAATTGACTGTGAAGGGAAGCAGAAGGCAGAAACACGTAAAACTCAAACATGTAACTGTGTATGAGCTACAGTCTTTACAGAGACTGTTTTTTGTCGTTCCATTTTGAGAAAATATCAATCAAATAGTGATTGCCAGGAACGACAGGCCAAAGAGCTAGAACTCAAATGGCCGCTGGATTGGAAAAGAAAAGCAAAGTATTGCCAGGAAGGCAATCTTCAAACTTTAAAAGACATTTCCAAACTCATTTCTCATGCTTGATCAGAATTGTTAATACCCTGTGGTCATGTGTGTAGGGACTCAAAAAATCTAAGGATCATAATATTATCAAATTCATCTTGGGTCAAGAAGGCGAGCAAAATCCAGACAATTTCAGAAATCCAGATTTTCAGATTTATCCAGAATATCAGCACCTCTGTTTCACAGAATCCCTTACCATCTTGATGGCGTTCCTCAGTCATGAGAGAGAGGATAGTTTTCGCATACTCGTAAGTCTGCTGCTCGCTGGGTGCTCCGGAGTATTCTCCGTAGTTGGCCAGTTCGGAAGTACCGCCAAGGTCACAAATGGTGTCACTGTTTCAACAAAGTAGGAAAAGATATATCATCGTTAGCTTGCAATTTTAAATTTCAACCAAAAAGAAATTACAACGGATCCAACAAAAAAATTACAAATGTCTCGTGAAGGGTTAGACTTCTTCTTCTCGATCGCATCACACTTGAAGTCAGTAATTGTCAGTAACCTTTCACACAGCAAACTAAATAAATATTCATCACTGTGGGGCAAACAAAAATGAAATTCTACATTTGTACATTTTTCTGGAATTTTTGTACCAGAGCTTTAGATAAGGCCTTAGAGCCTTTCAAAACATTTTCTCTTATGCGTTTTTAAGATGCATTTTTAGATATGAATGTAGATTTACATCAAACCAGTTAACATTGATCTGAAACATAATGTAAAAAACAAATCTTCATGTAAGATATCCTATTAAATTTAAAAAATCCCACACATCAATTTTTGAATTCAGCTGACACACTGAAAAGGAAAAGAGCAAAGAAAAATGACATACGCATATATGACAGAGGCTCCACCTCCTGCAACCATAGTCCAGATACGGCCTTTCTTGTTCAGAATTGTGAGCTTCAGACTGGCTCCACTCTTGGCATCAAGGTCTGCAATGTAAGCTTCCTGAAAACAAAACAAAATACCAGGAACTTTTTACATGGGAAATTGAAATGACTCCATAATTTATTACGTACTTCATGGGGAATTGAAACGAGGTTTTAGAGATTTTTGTTTGAGTAAAGAGAAGCACATCGACACAATAATGGACATTTACTGCTGAGAAAAAAGTAAGACAGACAGACAGACAGAAACAACAGAGGGGGGGAAGTAAAGAAGTAGGACCTTCCACTGGCGCCCTCCAACCACCCTTGCTTTAGAGATTAAGAGTACCAAGTGGAACATTAATGCAATAGTCATTTAGTGCTGAGGAAAAATAAGATAGACTGAAAAATAAGAGAGAAAGCACAGGTGTAGGACCTACTAGTGGCGCTCTCCAGCCACCACTTATCTTGTCAAAACAATAATTTTTAAAAAGCTATTAATTAGACAGGGCGGTATGAAGCAAAATCAACAACACAATAGTTTTAATTTTAGTAAGAGTTTTACGGCACTTGCAACACAATAAGATTACTTAAGCGCCAAAGATTAGAGGTGTTACAAGAGAGTAACAAACACAAAAAAAAGCAGGAGAGATAAGGACGATAGATGTTTGACAGGAAAGAAGGAGCAAATCACACCAGAGCACCCGCCAACCACCCACCAACACAACAGCGTCAAGAATTGAGGAGTAGGAGCCGTCATATAGCACAAAATAAATATCCACAGCCATAGACAGAAAGCTGTAATCGGAATCACTTTTTTGTTTTAGTAGAGGTTTTACGGCGCTCACAACTGCATGAGGTCATATGAGCGCCAGAAGATTAGAGGTGCTACAAGAGAGTAACAAACATAAAAAAGAAGAAGGGGAGATAAAGACGATAGATGTTTGATAGGAAAGAAGAAGCAAACCACACCAGAGCACCCGCCAACCACCCACAGGAAAAGTGTGAAACAATAGGTACGCTGACAAAACATACAAGAGTGTCCACAACTAATCCTCTCATATTGTTATGTATAAACTGAAAAAAAAACACCAAAAAACGCTATTGAGACGATCAAGTTTAGTTTTAGGAAGTTTTACGGCACTTGCAACACAATAAGGTCATATAAGTGACAAATATTAGAGGTGTTAAAAGAGAGTTTTAGTTTTAGTAAGATGTTTTACAGCACTCGCAACACAATAAGGTCATATTAGTTCCGAAGACTAGAGGTGTTACAAGAGAGTAACAAAACCAATAAAGAAAGAGGGGAGATAAAGATGAAGATTTTTTTTATAGGAAAGAAGGAGCAAACCACACCAGAGCACCCACCAACCACCCACAGAAGATCGGGAAACATCATAGTGCTATCAAAGCTAACAAGTAATGTCTGTGCATTGTTAAGCCCATAAAGCCCTTGCCTCATGAAAATGTCCTCTAGAAATGGAACTTATTATTATTAATATAATTCAGTAAGCCCCATTACAAAACCCACTGACCCGTCCACACAAACAACAAGGGCATTTTCTTTTCTTTGAAATGCAAATGATGGCTGGCAGCCAAAGGCATGTTTTTCAACTTTCTTGCCATGTGGGGATGTGGTGAGTATCTGATGAGTCAGCACAATAATTCCATACGTCAGGAACAATTAGTTTAGTTTTAGTAGGAGTTTTTGTTTTAGTAAGTGTTTTACGGCACTTGCAGCACAATAAGATCATATACGTGCCAGAAGATTAAGGGTGTTAAAAGAGAGTAACAAACATAAAAAAGAAGGAGGGGAGATAAAGAGGATAGATGTTTGATAGGAAAGAGAGAGGAGACCACACCAGAGCACCCGCTAACCACCCTCTTTCAGTAGGAGTTTTACAGCACTTAGAACTCAATAAGGTTGTATAACGGCCGAAGATTAGTGGTGCTACAAGAGTTTGTTTGTTTGTTTGTTTGAGTAAAGAGAAGCACATTGACAGACACACTAATGGTCATTTAGTGCTGGGAAACAGTAAGACAGACAGACAGACAGAAACAGAAGAGGAAAAGTAAAGAAGTAGGACCTACCAGTAGCGCCCTCCAACCACCCGTGTGTTACAATAGAGAAACAAAGACAACAAAGGACGACAGACGTTTAGCTTAAGTAATAGTTTTACAGCACTTGCAACACAATAAGGTCATATAAGTGCCGAAGATTAGAGGCGTTACAAGAGAGTAACAAACACAAAAAAAAAGGAGGGGAGATAATAACGACAGATGTTTGATAGGAAAGAAGGAGCAAACCACACCAGAGCATCCGCCAACCACCCACCAAGAGAGAAAGGAAGAGCAGAAAACAAAAACGTGAAAACAAAACTAAACAATCGTCCTAATCAAGCAATAAAACTGCAAGTAATAGGTTTCGAGACACGGCCTGCAAAAACCCAAGGTCCAAGCAATAATGCAAATGATCTGCATATATCTCCAAAGGGCTGTGCTCAAATCAATACCAAGAGAGAGGCTTAGATAACAAATTGAAATCATTTATAAGGCACTTTCAACAGCTGGTGTATGCTAAGAGTTGTGAGGGGGGGAGAAAAGAACGGTGTAAGATTACAGCATTAAATCAATAATCTAAAAACCAAGCATCTGCTTTTGCTGAGTAAGCTGTCACCAAGAGGTCCAGCTCAGTAAGAAACTATAAACCAAACATTTGGCTTCCAACTTCACCGCCTCTACATTATGACAGCATGGGTTACTGAATTGGAAAAAATATTTGGTACTCACAAGGAACAGGAAAAAAAAAAAAACTTTAAAAAAACCCAATGTCCTCACTGTCTCTAGTTTAGTTTAGTTTTAGTAGAGGTTTTACGGCGCTCGCAACTGCATAAGGTCATATGAGCGTCAGAAGATTAGAGGGGTTACAAGAGAGTAACAAACATAAAAAAGAAGACGGGGAGATAAGGACGATAGATGTTTCATAGGAAATAAGAAGCAAACCACACCAGAGCACCCACCAACCACCCACACACTGTCTCTCAAAATCAAGATACACTTTTGCTAGCAAACTTCCATAAAGGCAAAACAAATTCCTGTAAATCTCCCATACCTCAGGTAAAGCATCTCTTCCAAATGGCGGGGGGAATTCTACATTGCCCCATTTTGCTTTGCACAGAAATTCCGCACACTGGTCAATTTTTGCAGCAAGATCAAGGATGAAGATTTGGTCCCCTTTCACAACTGAAAATACAATGTAATAAAACTTCGTAACATACTCTTTCGCTTGTTCTATGGGAGCAGAAGAGTCATAGCTTTGTTAAAAACCCATAGCCTTCCATTAAATAACAATCTATTGGTGGGAATTAACTAATTTGCCCTTATGTGAGAGATGTGTGTAACTCTCATGAAATTGAAGACCAATTTCACTTTATTTTCTATTGTTCACACTTTGTCCATCAAAGAAAATTGTTAATCCCTCCCAGCCTGACTCAGCCCAGTGACAGAAATATGGAATGTTTGACCTATGATAAGAGATATGTGCACAACCTGTACGTATTCATTATGGAAACTTTACTTATCAAATGAGTGTTTCATGAGACGTGATGAGGGCCAATAGCCTTAAACACTGAATAAACTTACCTACTTACTTTTGCTTGTTCAAAGTTTGTCAGCAATATTATTTATGGAGCACAGATATAACAAAAAAGAGATAACATAGAAACTTTTCATAACATTTATTAATTTTTTATACAACTCAAGACAAACTGAACATATTTTAGAATGAACAATGAGTACGGTGGACAAAAATTTCTGGGAGTAGACTTATGAATGAAACACTGAAAACAGACATTTTCTTACCCAAAGGGTTGATCTCTAAGTAAGTGAAGTGCAGATCTTGGTAAACTTTGTACAGTGTTACAATGAAGTCGGTGAGAGGTCTGTGGAAAATCAGATAAAAGAAGGTAATTTAATTTTTAAAAACACAATTGTGTCCTCATAAATGTTAGATTATTCCTTAGCATACTATTCACACCTGACCCTATCCATGAGTCGTGTTTTACTATCGTATCCATACGACGTGGGGAACTCTGTGTCACCACTTAACCCTATCCGTACGTCATGTTTTACTATCGTATCCATACGACGTGGGGAACTCTGTGCCACCACTTTCCAAAGAGGAAATTTACTTGTTAATCTGATCCATACGCTTTGCATTGAGCAGTCAGTCAAAATGACTTTTCAAGAAATACTGAAAGTTTCAAAAGAGATCTTCATACTAGAAGTATTCTAAAATGAGAAGAATACAACTGTTTGTGCTTATAGAAGTTGACTCACAATATTCACACCAATTACCAATTAATCACACTTGTTGAGCAATCAAAGGGCCGAGTGATTGGCGGGTGTTTTGGTGTGGTCTGCCCCTTCTTTCCTACAAAACATTCATCGTCCATATCTCTCCTCCTCCTTTTTTGTGTATGTTACTCTCTCGTAACACATCTATTTTTTGTCGCTTATATGACCTTATTGTGTTGCGAGCGCTGTAAAACTCTTACTAAAACTAAACTAAGTAGAGCAATCAGCAAATATTTAAATCACAAATGTTTAACTTTTTGCACAAGCAGGTAAAGCACTTACTATCAAAAGATAAGAACATTCAGAAAATTTTTCAGGCCATCATAGTCGAAGGGCAAAAAATATTCTCATCGGGAAATTCTATTAATTTGTACATCCATTGTCACACAGGTAATGAAAAACATGAGCAAGCCAAACAAACACCAAGACAAACTGGGTGACTCACCCACACAAACACCAAGACAAACTGGGTGACTCACCCACACAAACACCAAGACAAACTGGGTGACTCACCCACACAAACACCAAGACAAACAGGGTGACTCACCCAAACAGACACCAAGACAAACTGGGTGACTCACCCACACAAACACCAAGACAAACAGGGTGACTCACCCAAACAAAGACCAAGACAAAGTGGGTGTCCAGCCCACACAAATGTAACAAGACAAATTGGGTTTTAGTTTTAGTAGAGGTTTTTCTGCGCTCAAAACCGCATAAGGTCATATGAGCGCCAGAAGATTAGAGGTGTTACAAGAGAGTAACAAACATAAAAAAGAAGAAGGGGAGATAAGGACGATAGATCTTCAATAGGAAAGAAGAAGCAAACCACAACAGAGCACCCGCCAACCACCCACCAAACTGAGTGACCCGCCCTAACAAATACCAAGACAAACTGGGTGTTTTTTAGTTTTAGTAGAAGTTTTACGTCACTTGCAACACAATAAGGCCATATAAGTGCCCAAGATTAGAGGTGTTACAAGAGAGTAACAAACACAAAAAAGAAGGAGGAGAGATAAAGACGATAGATGTTTGATAGGAAAGAAGAAGCAAACCACACCAGAGCACCCGCCAACCATCCGCAAGGAGGAGAGATGAGGACGAAAAAGGTTTGATAGGAAAGAGCACCCGCCAACCACCCACACCATGACAAAGTGGGTGCCCCGTGCACACAAATGTAACAAGACAAACTGGGTGCCCCGCGCACACAAATGTAACAAGACAAACTGGGTGCCCCGCGCACACAAATGTAACAAGACAAAGTGGGTGCCCCGCGCACACAAATGTAACAAGACAAAGTGGGTGCCCCGCGCACACAAATGTAACAAGACAAAGTGGGTGCCCCGCGCACACAAATGTAACAAGACAAAGTGGGTGCCCCGCGCACACAAATGTAACAAGACAAAGTGGGTGCCCCGCGCACACAAATGTAACAAGACAAACTGGGTGCCCCGCGCACACAAATGTAACAAGACAAACTGGGTGCCCCGCGCACACAAATGTAACAAGACAAACTGGGTGCCCCGCGCACACAAATGTAACAAGACAACCACTCACTGTTTGGCGGATGCAGGGACCTTGGCCAGCAGCTTGCTCTGTACATCGGCAGCCGACAGAGTTCCGTCCACCTCAACGTCAAGTTTCACAGCCTACAGAAGAGGGAAGGAACGTTACCTAAGTGTCAGTAGAGTCAACCCACCATAAAACAAAAAAACAAAAAAAGCAAAATTAGAAAGTTTTAGTTTTATTAAGTGGTTTTGTTTTTTTCTTGAGTAAGAGTTGTTCGGCACTTGCAACACAATAAAGTCATATAAGTGCCGAAGATCAGAGGTGTCACAAGAGAGTAACAAACATTTTTAAAAAGGGAGAGGAGAGAGAAGGACGATAGTTTTTGATAGGAAAGAAGGAGCAGGAGCAAACCACACCAGAGCAGTAGAGGTTTTACGGCGTTCGCAAGTGCATAAGGTCAAATGAGCGCCAGAAGATTAGAGGTGTTACAAGAGAGTAACGAACATAAAAAAGAAGAAGGGGAGATAAGGACGATAGATGTTTCATAGGAAAGAAGAAGCAAACCACACCAGAGCACCCCTGCCAACCACCCACAAACATTTTAGAGTAAATTATTATCATCATATAACACAAGAAACAGCAGCATTTTTTACCTATTCTACAAACTTACTAAACTAGAATAAATGATTCCTGCACATAAGATAAGATAAGACAATACACTATTGTCCCAGAGGGAAATTTTTCTTGGCTGTACAGGACCGTAATAACGCAAGCAGGTATACACAAAAATTTTAATTATATATTTCTCTAATTAAAATGCAATATGAAAGGAAAAGAAAAGCTGACGAATGTACATATCACATCAGATGCATCATTCAACCACACGCAGGAATTTAATGACAAGACCTTTAGAGCTAGATGCATACTCGAAAAAAGCAATACACATTATGTTTATTCTGACAGTAGCCTTATACGAGATGGTAAAAAAATTTTTGGGTATCTTTCCTTCTTTGTTTTTTTAGAGGTAGAGGTATATTTGCCGCTGTGTGATCTTACAATTTGTGTGGAAAGGGGGTGTGATGCGTCGTTTATAATGTTTGTTTATTTCTTTTAAACTTGTGATCTTAAACATTTCATCAGTTCTAGTAAAATGATATCCAGAGATCTTGCAGGCTTTCTCAACGGTCTGTCAAATTTTTGTTTATCTTTCAACCTTCAATTCCCAGCCCAGCAGTAAATACATAATAGTAACACGCTTTCAATCATAGAATGGTATGAAAGGGAAAGAATCTAATTATCAATTCGAAAACGTCTTATTTTCCTCAAAAAGGAACATTCTTTGATTTATATTTTTTATACACAAGAGCAGCGTAGATAAGCCAGTCAAGCTTGTTATCAATTGTTATTCCAAGATATTTGTAAGAGTCTACAACCATCACCTCCTCATCTTTAATAAATAGTGGTTGCAATCAAAAGATCTTTTTTTGACTCTAAAGTCTATTATTAATTCCTTCGTCTGTTTTCCATTTTGTAAAAGGAAGTGGTTATCACACCAATTTGTAAATACATTAACAGTGTCCCTAAATTCATTCTCATTTGTTGTTATAAGGCCTTGTAAAGCTGAATTTCAAAGGTCCCGGGTTTGAATACGGGTAGTGACGGAAAAATTTTCTTCTTTAAAATCGTCTCCTTTCGCCTCCTTTCCTGCTCTCTAGAAATGTTCTCTAATCTGCTTTCGTCTCCTCTTTCTGCCCCCACACCCTCACCTCCTTTGCCCCCCTCCTCTGGGCTCCTGACTCTTTCTGCAGCCTTTCTATTGCTACTCCTTGGCTCCTTCTTACTGCTGTCTTTCAGCCACACCCCTGATCTTCTGGTAGGAAAGATCTACACCTAGCCTTCTCTGACAAATGCAAAAAATCTTGGAGGTCGCATGCGCAAGTAGCCCACGTTAAAGATCCCTTGGTTGTCTAAAATCGATAACAGTAGGCTTCAGCCGCCACCTGGGCAAAATTCAAAATTTCCTACCAAGTGAAAATGTTCCGTGTGTCCCGCACGGTCATATGACCTTATGCAGTTGCGAGCGCTGTAAAACTCACCCCCAAAAAAATGTAAATAAAAATTTTTTTAAAAGGTGAATCATCCGCAAATTTTATTAGTTAAAGTACAGTCGTTAGTGTAAAGAGCAATCAAGACAGGGGAGATTATACTACCTTGGGGGACACCGGTGTTCGTGAATATTAGGTCGGATTTTACACCATTTAATTTTACATATTGAGGGCGATTGGTCATGAACTCAAGAATCAAAGCTATAATGTTCTTGTTTATGTTCACGTTAATTAATTTCGAAGCATTTTATGTGTGGTTTCAAAATTAATTAACATGAACATAAAACAAAAACAAGAACATTACAGCTTGGATTCTTGTCGCGTTACCCATTCATAACTTGAGCTAACAGTGCTTGTAATCAAAACAGATATCACAGACACGCTGAAAGGGAATCACGCCTCCTTTTTTGCTTTAACCCTATCCGTACATCGTGTTTTATTATCGTATCCACACGAAGTGAGAAGCGCTATGCCACCACTTTCCAAAGAAGAAATTTACTTGTTAACCCGATCCGTAGGCTTTGCATAGCAGTCTGTCAAAATGATTTTTTGAGAAATACTGAAAGTTTCAAAGAGATCTTCGCACTAGAAGTATTCTAAAAAGTAAAGAATACAACCCCAGGGGTACAAAATGATCCCAGGGCGTATGGATAGGGTTAAAAGTTCTTTTGGCAGGATGAATCATGAATGGAACAAACTGGCAAACTTACCTTGGCATCGACATCCCCAATGTCAACACCTCCTTCATGATGAAACAGTATAGTGTCAGCCGTGCGATGTGAATGAATGCACACATAAAACTCTTCTTCCTGAAAGAAAGAAAAAAAACCCAAAAAAAACCCCAAAGTCAATACTTTTGTCAGATGGAAGAACTTCAAAGAATGAGTTTTGCTTTTGCCAATAAAACTATAAGAGTGAAAAAAGCATGCCGTAACCCATACTATGGATCGAAACTTTTGTGTAAGTAAAAGCAGTGATGTAAAACACAAGTCAGCATTTCAATGTAGTGCAATTTCTTACAATTAAAAAAAATTTGTTTTCACAATGAAGACATCAAAGATGACATTTTAGGCATCCTGCTAAGGAGCAGAGTGAAAAGGGTCAATGAAAAAAGACATTTGTCAGTAAATAAAGGTTTGACAACAAATTCTTTTTTTTTAGAGTTGTACCCAACACCTAGTTTTAAGCCTGTTCATTCATATTTTTTTTAATGCTTCTCTGGACTGCATTCTGTCAGTATTAAAAATGGGATGAAACACAAAACTATAAATGTCTAGTGAATAAAGTACCTGTTTATGAGCCACAAAAGGTTCGATGATGAAGTTCTTTAATCTGCCTTTAGCAGCTCCAATCTGGAAAAAATAAACACAGAGAATGCATCGTTAGTGGCGTTGGTGGCCTAGTGATAAGGCTACCGGACTCATAATGGTGAGGTTGCAGGTTGGGGGGTTCGAGCCACGAGCCCGACGTTGTGTCCTTGGGAAAGGCACTTTACACGAATTCTCCTCACTTCACCCAGGAGGGAATGGGATTTGCGCTATACAAATGCTATCTATCATTACTAATATTATTTTTATCATATCCTTTGTATGAGAACAAAAGCAGGGAAAATAACATATTTGTTCGATGTGAATAGACACAGAGATATGTTCTACAGAGATAAGATACAAAATAATATCTAACACCCTATAACAACAAACTATAATCCATCATCATCAATTTCCTTTGGGTAGCCTTTTTTTTTAGTTAATGTTAAAATGTGTTCAAGGGATTAACAAACACAAAAAAAAGGAGGAGAGATAAAGACGATAGATGTTTGATAGGAAAAGAGGAGCAAACCACACCAGAGCACCCTCCAACCACCCACGGTCCTGAGTTAATTAACCAATACTGCCAAAATTGTCTAAGACAGCCATTTATTGTCTAGGAGAAAAGTGTTTGTCTCAGACAAGTGAACTTCTTGGACAGTTTTGTTATATTTTCTAGAGCGAAATGCTCGCAGCTAAAAGAAATTTGAAAACAACAACAACATCATATTTTCTATAATGTGGAGTACAGGAGAGATGTTTTAGTTTTAGTAGAGGTTTTATGGCGCTCACAACTGCATTAGGTCAAATGAGCGCCATGGGGTGGATGTCAACAGAGAAGCCCTTAAAGGGAATCAGGCTTACTCTGCTCATCTCTCTAGCTTCAGCAGCACAAAGTCTGCTTTGACTATCAAGGCACCCCGGAAATAGCGGGTCACAAAAGCGTGACAAACATACAAATGAAGTAGAGGAAAATGACGATAGTAAGGATTACGAAAGAAAAAGCAGCAGTTCCCTGTTGTAGTTCAGGCACAGTTAAGAGCATGCCACTGTTTGATCAGCCCATTTACAATCCCACTGTGCATTAGAACGAGAAATGTCCCCCCTTTGGGAATGGCCTAAAGAAACTTCAGTCAGTGGCACCGCCCCAGGGGTGGGGTTCATGTGTATTTTTAAGTGCATATATACAAAAGTGATAAAGAAACTATACAATCTATTTTTCCCTTTATACAATATCACGGTAACAAGTGAAAGATTCAGATCTCTCAGCATTAAGGTCAACAATAACATGTGGTCACTTAATTCCCCCCCCCCCTCCCTTCCTATCATGATGCTTCTTCCTCTGTACTTCCAACCAGCACTCTGTCACTTATCTTACCACGGGAAAATAGCCATCTTTAAGCCTCAATGGGCTAATCAAGGGGCGAGCACAAAAGATCAATATCGGCTTGGCTTGAAGCCAACCACTAAACAGCTGCCAAACTGATTTAGCAGCAGGCTACCAGCACAGGCAACACCCCCCCCCCCCCCCCTACCAACAAAAAAAAGCAAACAAAATCTATTTTCATAACCATTAAGCGACAGTTCTAACTTTACGTGAAACACGGATTAAAAACAGTGGGAAAGGCATGCTTATGAAATGTGATACTGCAAAAAGATCAATTGCATCTTTAATGAAATTTCTATCTGAACATCTTGGCATAATGCTACATGTTCTATTTAACCCTATCCCTACGTCATGTTGTACTATCGTATCCATACGACGTGGGGAACTCTGTGCCACCACTTTCCAGAGAGGAAATTTACTCGTTAGTCCGATCCATACGCTTTGCACAGCAGCCTGCCAAAATGACTTTTTGAGAAATACTGAAAGTTTCAAAGAGATCTTCGTACTAGAAGCATTCTAAAATATGAAGAATACAACCCCCGGGGTACAAAATGAGCCCAGGGCGTACGGATAGGGTTAACAAAGGTCAGTCAGTTGGGTGTCACTGTACTGACGACGTTATGTCATGGGTTCACGAGGTGTGACACATAACACAACCAAACCACCACATTCCTAGTTATTCAATGACCGCCGCTCAGCCACTAGTGGTTCATGTGACAGAAAATGAAGAGTAGCAAATACTTTGCGGTATCCTTAATGTACTGTGCACACACCTGTTACTTTAGTTGGAGTAAGAGTTTCACTGTACTTGCAACACAATTAGGTCATATTATATAAGTGACAAATTGTTTTAATAAAGAGTTTCAACGCACTTGCAACAAAAATAAGTCATATTATATAACTGCTAAATTGTTTTAATAAAGAGTTTCAACGCACTTGCAACACAATTAGATCATATTATATAAGTGCTAAATTGTTTTAATAAAGAGTTTTAACGCGCTTGCAATACAAATAGGTCATTATAAGTGCTAAATTGTTTTAATATAGAGTTTCAAAGCACTTGCAACAAAAATAAGTCATATTATATAACTGCTAAATTGTTTTAATTAAGAGTTTTAACGCACTTGCAACACAAAAAGGTCATTATAAGTGCTGAAGATTAGAGGTATCACTACAGAATAGTGTTTAGTTCTAGTAAGTGTTTTAGGCACTTGCAACACAATAAGGTCATATAAGTGCCAAAGATTAGGTGTTACAAGAGAGTAACAAACACAAAAAAGAAGGAGAGAAGATAGAGACAGATTTTTTTATGGTAAAGAAGGAGCAACCACACCAGAGAACCCGCCAACCACTCACCACTAGAGAATAACATATGACAAAAAGATGGGAGGAGAGATAAGGGCAACTGATGTTTGATAGGAAAGATAGAAGCAAACCTCACCAGAGCACCCGCCAACCATACACGCACTCCTGCTAAGAGAAAAGTTCATTATCTGCACAACAGATGGCATACTGGTTTTTTCCTTTCAGTATCACCTTTTTTGTTTTAACTGCTTTATGTATCACGACCTCAGAGCTTTCTTGTCCTACTTCCATTTCTTTTTAACATTGAAAATGTGACTTCTTCTTAAGCCCACTCTTTGTTATGAACTGTTTTCACTGTTATTAAAAATGGAGATATGACAAGAAAGCACTGAGGTCGCGCGCGGCATGCTACCATGTAAGAAATTTTTAAACCCAAATAAAATTGCCCAACACTATCAACAGCTTTCACAATACACATGTACCACGAACGTTACCTCAAAATCTTTTCCCAGTTTGGTCTTGAGCCATTCTTGGACACCCTGGAAGTCAGCACCGGCCTTGATCAAGCCCAGTTTGCCACGCCGCTTTATCAGCTGATCCGGCTTCACAACAAGCTTCTGGAAGACAAAGACAATTGCTTGTTTGTTTTTTGAGGGGGTTTTTCTCAGGCTTTTTCAAATTTTAATAATAAAAGTTTTATCGCACTTGCAAAACACATTAGATTTTTTCATTTTTTTTACTGAGGGTGGGTTTGGTTTTTTTTCCTTTTTGTTGTTGTTCTTGTGTCTTTCTCATTCTTAACCTGTTTCACAAATTTAACACACATGTATATTCATGAGCAAGCTCACACACATGTACAAAGACACACACACACATGCACACACACACATACACACACACATACATACACACACACACACACACATGTACACACACACATGTACACACACACACATACAACTGAGACAATCAGAAAATACACTAAAACAATATTTTTCAGCAGTAAAAAAGTTGTTCCCGCATCCGATCCGGACATTGCAGATTGCTTTGTCAGTGAAAACAACTTTCTGGGCCTTCGGCATATTGCAGTAGGGTGGCCAGTTCCTTTCCACGTCACCTTTACTTCCCCAACTCTTCAGCAGTAAATGACTAGTGAAATTATAGAAACAATAAGGTTCTATATCCTTTTGATATAATGCAATACATTTACACTGTGGGCAACAAGAACATGTTGAATCTCTCACCAACATTCAGAAGAGCATAACACTGAAGGAATATCAGGTACTATAATATGTAAAACCACCATCCAATCATTGCAGTTGCCTCAGCCACACACAAAAACAGCCAAAAATAAGACAAACTCTGAGACACAAAAAAAGAAAGAAAGAAAGAAAAACAGACAACAAACCTCGTTAGAAAGCCAGGTATTGTCTTGAAGGACCTGGTTCCAGTTGACGGTTTCATCAATGGAGACAAAGCGATTCTTCATGGCAACATCTCCCAGGAATTTATTGAGCAGTTCTTTGCCCTTTGCCTCAGATATAGCCTTCGCCGACATCTTCAAGCTGTCAAATCTGCCTCAGTTCTCTTCTGAAACACACCAAAGTATCATCCTAGTTTAGCTAAGTTGGTGTAAAGAGAAGAACGTAGACACAATACTGCCATTAAGCTTTAGGGGGGGGGGACCGGGTGCCCATTGCGAATGGGATCGGGTCGGGTCGGGTCGGGTCAGGTCGGGGGCTATCGCCCATCTTGTCGCCTGAAAACAAACGCGTTTTTGAAGCGACGAGTCGGGTGCGGTAGCCTGGCTGGCAAAACGCCCCGACCAGACCGATCCCCCAATAGGCAAGAAAAGTAAACAAAAAAAGAGGACCAATCAGTGGCGCCCTCCGCAAAGTATATCTTCCCACCTTAAAGGTCACACACGTTTTTGTGGGATCCAGTTTGGGCCCAAACAATGTTTTTGGGTTTTGATAAACTTCCCTTGAAAATTAAGTGCTAAATCGACTGGGTGTACTCCCAAAGCTCTATTTCAAAGAGATAGCTCCATGAAGTTTGTGACGTTGTGAGCCAATGCAATGCCTTAAAGCAATTTTTATACCTTTCTGCTCCTTTCCTCAAAATAAGAAGAAGGAATATTACCTACTTTGTAACCTTCCCTGCGTTTAGTAGATCATGGCCCACAATCCGTCCGTTGAGAGGTCCAAGGCCCACAAAACCCTTTAACTTTAACAAGCACGGCTTGTTTCACCTACTTGCCTCGCCTGAGATTACATAATTTCTATCATAAGTTAGATCAGAAAAGCAGGTCGCAGAGTGAAGAAAAAGTTCTATCGAGTAGTGAAAGTGAAAGTGAAAAATCATTTGAGGGCATGATCTCCCAACCAGAATGAAGAACTCTCGTCCGTCGTCTATCACTTTCACTTCTACTTCCAATTTAAAAAAAAATTTTTTTGGTCGTTATCTGCTGCGTGACAGTAAATGCTTCGATGAACCTGCGTTGGGTTCGTTGACCCAAGCATACACTGACACGCACTACACTATGTAATCTGCAAAGCCAGCCAAATCAAAATCGCACGCTTGCTCCGAACGATCTCTTACGAAAAAGGTCAAGGAGATGGATACAATCAGGGTCAATGGCGTGACGGCGTCAGCTAAAAGCATGGCTTTGGACCAGCGCACACATGACCACGATGAAATAGGACCACAAAAAAAACCACACACAGAACGCAAAATTGACACATGTGATTTCTCTGTAAAATGAGGCCATGGGAAAATGCGAGTGGATGATGTACTGATTTACCATAGCATCACGAAAGAAGGCCTACACATTAATTATCTTCACAAATGTTTTGGTAGGTTTTAGAGTAAGAGTATTACGGCACTTGCAACTCAAATAAGTCATGTTATTATTTATAAGTGCTGAAGATTAGAGATGTTACTATACAACGTAACAACATACATGTGCAGATAAAAGAAGGAGGAGAGATAAGGACGATAGATGTTTGATAGGAAAGAAAGAGCAAACCACATCAGAGCGCCCACGTCTTCACAAAAAAGCCTGGTACTGGTACTGGTTGAGGGCCCTCCATTCATAAATAAAGAGTGCACGCATTCAGACACTATACGAACTCAGCAATGAATGTACATGATATATCGTAGGGTTGACAACTTTTTAGGTTTTATTAGAGGTTTTAAGGCACTTGCACACAATAAGGTCATATAAGTGTCGAAGATTAGAGGCGTTACAAGAGAGTAACAAACACGAGAAAGAAGGAGGAGAGATACAGACGACAGACCTAGTAGGAAAGAAGGAGCAAACCTTACCAGAGCACCCACCGACCACCCACTGAATGTACATGATATATCGCAGGGTTGACAACTTTGTCAAAGCCCAGTAAGAGACACTCCATGCTAGGACATCGGAATACGTAATGAATGAACAGAAATCTCCAATCAAGTGGGACCGCTTTTGGCAGTATAGCAAAAATTATATGTGAGGCAGCGTGGTGGAATCAGGCTCTCGTCAAATTTTAGGCATGCAGATTTATTGGTATCATCTTAAAGTTTGTTCACTTGTCTTTATTTCGATTTTTAAAAAATATCAATTTATCTTGAATACAAGTCGAGATATTTGCGAAAGAAGGAGGTGGGGGGTCACTTGTTTTCAGGAGTAAAATTAGTGAGAAAATGGCCGCCAAAGAGTAGTTATTTCCAGTGGCGAAGCGTCTATATAATCAAATAATCACTGCTTTCCTTCCTAATTTTGAAAAATTGCCGCTGTCAAATTCATTCATAGATGTAAACCTCATAAATTAAATGTAAAAAGACGCTCATAATCACCAATGAAAGGTATGTCTAACATTCTAAACAGTTTCATTGCCACAGAAATAGCCTGTTCACCCCTATCGTGCCACTCCATAAGCAGTCTTAAGTAAGCTTACAGTGAGGCTGGAAGAGTCAACCAAAAGAGTTGAAGGGAACATGTGTGCAACAGTCAAAGCTGTTTTATTGTCACATATACCCTGTTCACCCCTTTCGGGCAACAGTTATAAGCAGTCACAAGCACTGATTATGTAAGCGAACAATTACACTGGTCGAGTCTACCTCACAGATGTGAGGGGACCTAACTCCTAATAATATCTTGACAGCTGCGAAGGCTTGTTTTATTTCGTCGACTTTTTACCGTCCTATAATCAGATTGTGACCTAGATTATGACACCGGCTCTTGGCCGCTAAACGCTTGACACAAACAGCCAAATGTGAAATAAAAAATTAATAATTGTCATGTTCTATCAGAGTTTAGTTCAGTGGTATTAGGTACATACTGTAGTACTGACATCTCTGCTTCTTTGCTTTCTGTTTATGTATTCATGTCTTCAGCTAAATTTAAAGTTTGTTGGAATAAATATTCAATGAGATACTTTCTCGATTATTTTAGCGGTTGAACATGCATACAACATGAATCA